GTAAAATATCGCGTTGTTTAATTGATAGCCAATGAAGTTCAAGCTGAAAGTCATGGGTTGCGAAATAACCATCGAGATCAGTCGACTTTTTCCGTTCATATCTTCTACTCTCAATGATTACATTGGCAGTCACTTATTTTGACGTTAATAATTAACGGTTAGATCTAGGTTTGACTTATTTAAATTGTTTATATTTTTAAGTGCTGTTTTGGTATTTCATGAATTAATTTGCTATTAAAAATGAAAATCGACAAACCAAAATACCATTGATTGTGAGCAAAATGTTAAGGATGTTTGACCCTGAGAGCACTGAGCCTGCCTCAGTTTCTCTCTAAATGCTTGTTGTTCTGTTTATTGTTCTGTTTTGGTATTTAATGAATGAATTTTCTATTAAAATGAAAATCCACAAACCAAAATACCATTGATTGTGTGTAAAATGTTAAGGATGTTTGGAAAAATGACAATGTTGATGACAAAAAAATGTTTAGGACTGCAATGTGACAGGGACATTAGGACAAAAAATTATTATTGAAGGTTACAAGCAATTTCAATACTCTCAACCTATTATAAACATCTATAAACAAACCACAAAACAGATTAAAAGACATAAGGAATACAAAAATGTGGAAGTCTGAACACATCTAAATTGTAGATACTGCACTTTGCTTTTGTAATAGTGCTCTAGTTGATCAAGGTAATTCAAAGGCACAGTGCAGTATCTACATTTTTGGGGTCAAAGGTCATATCATTGGTCTTTTTTTATATATATATAATTTTCCTTCCTAAAAAGGTATTAATTGAAAGTATCAACACTATTGGACCTGCTACATGTTGGACTGGCCAGTATGAAAACTTTAGAGGCATTTTTCTCTGTTTCAATGGTGGCGTAGTTACTGCACTTAGCCTTTGTAGGGCAGTATAAAGGTGGGAATGGTGATCATGCTACTCCGAAATTTCGACCAACAAAATGGACACTGCAATGGATCGAGATACATCATTGAACAAATCCTGCCTCATCTTTTGGTTGCTACTTCTGTGATCGGCGTCAATGCTGGACGCACATTACTCATTCCACCCATCATCCTCATCCCATCTGACAACATATTTCCATTCACCCTGCGACGTAGGCAGTTTCCGGTGAGACCCTGCTTTGCCATGACAGTGTATAAGTCACAAGGCCAGTCTTTGCAACGTGTTGGTGTCTTCTGCACAAGAGACTTCTTCAGTCATGGTCAATTCTACGTTGCAGCCAGCAGAGTTGGCAGATCAAGCAGACTTCGTATTCTTGCTCAAGATAATGAAACAAACAAAAAGCGCCACTTTCTGAGCAATGTTGTCTATAAAGAGGTGCTGACACTAGAACAACATGTAATCTTCAAGAACAGCCAGTCTGCACTAACAAAACATAAATATCCACTCTAAATATATCCTCCAATGCATCATTATGTCAGTATCAGTATGCTTTCTACCATGCACAAACAAAAATGTCACTGAACTTTTGCTGTGTAATTGTAACAATGTCAATGAGCACTCAAACACACCAAACCAACAATTGCTAAAAACACACACAAAAAAATTATTTTGCACGGGCATTTTGCACTAGTTATCCAAATGGTATTCTGTTTCCCACAAGTAAAAAACTGACACAACACCACACACACACACATGCTTACAGAGCGTACAGTGTCAGCTCAGTTCATGGAAAAGCTGACAAAAACGTTACAAGATATATTAGGCCTAAGCTCTCAGGAATTCATTTAGGTCTTGCTGAAGGCTCTGAGACACAAAGGGCCAGTCAAATAAGGACAAAAGCAGGCCTCACATCAGTTGTCTCTACACTATAGAGTTATAAAACAAGCAATTACACACTATGACAACACTGTTACTGTAATAAAACTCTATAAATAATATAATAAAACACTGTACACAAGAGGTCTAAATATTAGAAGCACCCGTAGCTTACAGATTCACTATCATAATAAATGGCTGTATATGATGTTTAAGTTCACGTAGTGTTACAGCGCAGCGCTTCTGTGTTGTACGTCACACGCATCACACACATGACCAGCGTCAATAGTGAATAGCCAATAGTGAGCCTACGTGTGACGTACAACACAGAAGCGCTGCGCTGTTACAGTACGTGAACTAACTCGAGGCACACAGAGAAGGAAATGAATAGTTGAATAAAGTGGTTATTTTTGTTTGTTTTTTACGCACAAAAAGTATTCTCGTCGCTTGAAAAACTTAAGATTGATCCCTTAGAAGCCTATGGAGGAGTGATCCAACTCTCAGATTTAATCAAAAATATCTTAATTTGTGTTCTGAAGATGAACGAAAGTCTTACGGGGTTGGAACAACATGAGGGTGAGTAATTACTGACAGAATTTTCATCTTTGGCTGAACTATCCCTTTAAGGTCGATTTTTTTTGGTCTTTACAGGCAATTTTCTACCATGGTATCATCACCACATTGTTTTAAAGATATTTATTTAACAAAGTAAAATCTGACATTTAGAAAGAATTAATCCTTAATAAGTAAACGATACATTAGCTTATCTTTAATCTATAAACAACCAGACAACCTTTTACACTAATGTAACGTCTCCACCCATGAAGAAGTGAAGAATTTATCCTTTGAATACATTTTTTACTTGCCTTTAGGTTTGATATGCAAGCAATACTTTTGGTATGATGAAGAAAAAAAAAATGCCTTCAAGCTCTGTTTATTGGTCCTAAACCACAAACCACAGGGTGTATTTTTAACTGAAGACCTATACAAATGTCTTTCAACATTCTTAATACATTATGTGCTGTGAGACAGGATTTTAGCATATTTGTCTTAGAATGAACTTAATTTAATCTTATTTCAAAATGCTCTCTATGAACTGTGCTCCTTTTTTTCAGCTCAGTATTTCCACAGCAGTCTGGTCTGAACTGTCATTCTTTATACAAACCAGACTAGTCACAATCCCTTTGGCCTTGCACTTACTTCAAACATTCTCAGAGTACTTTCATACATTTTACAATACAACTGCAGGAAAAAGAGATGACTTGAAAGGTATATTACATATTAGATATCAGAATGCAGGTATGGTGCTTGTATTTCACTGCTGAATTGTTCTTATATTGAAATGATTAAATGTACCCATATTAAAAATACTGAATCATAACATTTGACAATAAAACATCTCCCCATCCAAGCCGAGGTCCAGTAGGGTAGTGCTCATGGCAGATTAAAAAAGAGCTACACAAGTCTTACTGATTGAATCCACACACACAAAAATATATATAGTTATTTTTTTTACTACCTTTTAAGGACACTGCCTGTCCAAATTACTAAATGGAAAATACCCGAAGAATCAGAACCATCATATAAACTATATCCTCCACTCACTGACAGACTAAGATAAAAAGTTTTAAATTTTTTCTATTACCCTCACACTATCAAACACATTTTAACCTGCATTTTCCACTGAAGCTGAAGGAAGCATTACAAAAGCAGCTCTGTACTGATAAGGGCAGACTGACATTCAAAACAAAACATGTTTCTGATGTCAGGTATAAAGCATAATCGTTATCTAAAACACATCAAGTCTTTTTGGACAATATACATATTTTTGACATGCATTGCTTTAACAAGTCAAATAAATCAGACCTTGAATTAAACTAATAGTTTGCAAACTGCACAGACTAGGAAACAAAAAAGGCAAGCTGAGGATACATATCTAAAAGACAAGGCCAACACTTCAAAATGCCAAAACAAACATACTAGTAAAATATATTAGATTAAACTCGAGGATAAAACTACAAGTGAGCCAGGGGTGTCCAATCCTGATCCAGGAGGACCATCTTTCAGCAGAGTTGAACTCTAAACCCTCATTAAACACTCCCAAACCAACAAAGGATTACTAGAAACTTCCAGGCAGGTGTGGTCCCTTACGAAACAAAAATATATTGCAATATACTAGAATTTATATTGCAATAGATTAGAAAATATATTTCAATATATCAGAAACTGCCTCATATATTTGAAAATATATAACAATATATGGATGGACATCCTATTGCTATATATTGATTCATATATTAAAATACATTGATATACAAACAAAACTGTATTACATTATTGCATGTATGTTTATTGAAACAAAGTATTTTTTTTATGAGTTAAGTAAGCTCATGCATAGGTTTACAGAAAGGTTGATTAACAATAGTCCAAATCAAATTTTTGCATGACATTCATTATATTTTACATTATATAGCCATATGGATGGACCATATATGGCTATGTATTGATTCATATATTGTAAAATGTAGATGAGAGTATAAATTAAATTATCATTAACAGCAACAATTACAACATTTTTTAGTCCACTTTTTATTCCCCCACATGGTAAATTATTGTATACAATATATAATATGATAATTATATATAATATATTATGTAATATAAATCAATATATTTTTCAACATATTTAAGACATGTTTGCATATATATCTGATTATATTATCTGGTACATTGAGGTATATTAGCTCATATAATTTTACATATATATTTTCACATATATACAATGCCTCTTCCAATATATAATTTCATATAATATGGGACATATTTCAATATACCTAACAATATATTAAATAGTATAATAATATGTATTTATTCAATATATGAAAACGGCAATAATTGCAGTATTGTCCCATATATTGCAATATATTATTGCATATATATAATATATTATTATATAATATATCATATGATATATAACAATGTAAATTTCACAATATATGGAGACACATGAAATATATTGTCACATTATATATTGAGACATATATTTTTGTTGCGTAAGGGGTGGAGCTAAACTCTGAAGGAAAGTGGTGCTTCAGAAGCAGGACTGGACACCTCTGAAGTAAAGCCATTTGTTGAAAGGTGCTTTTAAAACTGTTCTCTTTGTTTGATTGGTTTAACATGGCCCTACAAGACTTAAACTGAAATCTTCTTACCAATCTGGTCCTCAGGTATGTAGGACTCTATGGGTGGGTTAATCTCTGAGCTCTGTATGAGGTAAGCCTTCATCTGGGTCATGAACTGCCGGAGCGTCTGCAGAAGATCCTGGCTGGATGAGTGGCAGTTTTTGTTCTCTTGCACAAAGCTCAAATAATCCTGCACCAGGCAACCAAAGTAGGAACCTTTGTCTTGGGACAACTCAATGATCCGGAGCAAGATGCGTTTTTCAGGTGTAGCCAGAACATTGAGGACACCGCGGACCTTTCGGAATTGTCCCCTTAGTGCTCGTGAGATAATGAGCGATCTCGGACGAACGCCCACTAGTTCAACCGCCAGGAGTCTTTTTGTCTGGCGGGCAGAACGAAGGCGAAGATGCAGGTCCCTTTCAAGTCCCACACCATAGTCTTCCTCCTCTTCGTCATACTCATCACTGCTGTCATCTGTGGAGAGGCCTTGGCCCACACTCTGGGATAGGTCCAAAGGAAGAGGATGCGGAGGACAATCCAGAGAGTCAGACGAGGAAGTGGACAAACCACTTGAGCTTCGCCCTTTCTCTTCTGGACCGGTCCATTGCTGCAGAATGGTGCTGTTGGTTGGGTTGAGAGGTGTATGCGTCCGGCTGGCTTGAGACAGGGCCCTAGAAATGGTATCATCATCTAACGCAATGGTGCAGCGGTAGCTGTCTATGTCTGGCGGTTGAGGAGGTCGTGGTGGAGGTTGAGGCGCAGGTTTCTTAGAACTGGGGCGTTTGGCGATCAATTTGGGTCCCTGACTCATTCTTGTAATGCCAGCACTCAAAAGCATAGTCCTCCGACCTGGGGGTAAAGCAGGGGTATGAACCAAAATGCGAGGTGGAGGTGGCCTTGGTGGAGGAGGGGGACGAGATTTTCTGTTTTCTGCTGTTGTGTCTTTTGCGATCACTGTTACTACATTTCCAGTTAGATCTTGCTGTGTCTTGAGGAAGACAGGGTTGATAAAAGACAAAGCACTGTTGGAGCAACTTCTTTCGCCTTCAGGGGCATTCGGGCAGGTGTCAGTCAGAGGTAGTGGGACATTTAGATTGCCAGTTGGGGTACAGGTTTGATCCTCTATCAGTAAGATGTCAGAGAAGTTCCTATGCAGAGAGATTGGCCGTCTGTCCAGAACCAGGGAACTCTTTGGGACTTGTCTGCTGACAGAAGATTCCCAGAAAGCTGGAATAAAAAAAGAGAGAATCTGATTAATGTTTAACAACACACGTACGCACAATCTTTGAACAAACACAACCACAAAAGCAGCTAACACACCCTCTCCAGCGTCCTACCATAGACCACGACACGTTGTCAGCAAACATGTGAGTTTGAGTGCGTGTGGCTATATCCAGTTACAGCCCGGTTGAAGCGTCTGTTCACTTCTCTCGTTCTCAGGCCCACTGAAGTTCTTGGAGAAATTTAGCGAGCTCAGTTGTGCAAGCTGATTCACAAATGCCTTACAAACACACCCAACACAAAGCCGGCCAAAAACTCAGTGAGTCATTTTTAACCAAACAGACAGGGGAGGTAGACTTAACAGAACACACCAAACCACTCCTCTTTCTCCTCCCCATGCTTTCTCTCTCGCTCCCCACCCATTTCAGTCTGGTTTCTCATGTTGGTTTGCCGGGCCAGTTTTTATTAGGACAGGATAGTTTTATTAGTCAGCATCTTTCAAATGAGACTTGTCTCTCACTTATATTACTAAATCAAACTATTACTAGATCAAACAATTGTTCTGCGGCAACTTTGGTGTGATTTTCACACCAACTTTGTTGTTAGTTTGCTGGGTGTTGTGGATGGGTGCCAAGACATTTTTATGTAATTACTAAGGTATTCCAAGTGTTTTTAGCTCATTTCTAACTTTTCAACCATGCATTTTATCTAGGGCAGAACAGATCTATTGCTGATAAGCAACAAAGTCAGTCACACACACACACATACACTCCCCCAATAACCTCTATGCTCTGATTAGCTCACATAGTCTCAACCACTATCTGGAATGCCAGCTGACTAATAATAACATGGAACTGAATAGTAGGCCAGCATGTTCGCAGCTGTGGTGGAATGAGAAATACACACACACACAGATACACATGAGACAATCATGCTGTCTTCTCTACGAACATTGCAATGTTTCTTTATTATCTCTATTTGACACTGGTCTAAACCTTTTCAGAATATACTAAAATATTACATTTCTAATTATTACTTGGACATGCAACATTGTTGAGTGTATTAAAAAACACACTCTGCTTTCCAGGTGTGTCATGCCACGGAGCCGTTGTTTTGAACGGAGCACCAGTGGCAGTCCTGACTCACTTAGTGCCCTAGGGAGAGACACAAGTAGAAAAAAAAGTAAGCGGAGTTAGTATAGTGCTACTGTCTTTATTTAGTGTGCAAGGGTCACCGGGGTGTAATTTAAAACTAAATGAAGCAAAATTGCAGCTGAACTTGACAGCCTGTTATAATCATCTGTTTAATGGTAGTAAAAGGGTAGCTTTGAATCCAAAGGTGCATGACCCCTGAATTTGACTGAATGGACTTTGGACATTTTCCCCTCACCTATTTTGAGAAACTTCACAATTATGTATACATATATATATACAGTATATGATATTGATTGTAATTTTAAGAGGGTCAGACTAGGTAGGTCAGTACCTGCCCCTTGCTGGGCCACCTCGTGCAGTTCTGACAGGGTCTCAGCTGAGTGTATTTCCTCAGGAAGCTTCAGGGTAGATGGCAGAATGTCTCTAATATGAAAGAAAGCCAGACAGACAAATAGTGCGTGAAATAGTGTAAAAAATGAAGAGTGGGAGAAAATACACACAACATAATTCACTCTTTTCCTACATTAAATGTGACAAGTCAAATTATTAATCTAAATTACATTCAGCTAATTTAATAATTCTACTCTTAATGGGCGGTAAAAATTGCTATTGATCAGAGAGAAGGCAGACTTTCAGTTTCTATGAGCGGCTTGAGAAAACAAACATAACGTGGAGAACAGTTGCAATCTTCTGATTTATGGATGATTTGAAATAAATCATTTGTACTTAGAGACCTATTTTACTATATCCTGTTGTTAATAAGGTGATGGATATCATTGGGTTTTATGAGCAGTGGGTTTATTACTGCACAATCATTCATTGTTTCTTTACTCATACTCATCTGTTTTGCTCTTATCATGCTTTAGCATTGCAATCATGGCAAAGACGATAAGACAGCAATGAACATTTCATCCATTACATTGTTCATAGTGAATTGTTTTTATATGCTACGAAGAAAATGTGAGTGGTCGAGTTACATGGCAAAGTATAATGCTTAGGGTTAGGGATTTGTTCAAATGTATGTATTAGCATTTAGTATGTATTACTGTAGCATTTGCAATTGTGATGCCTGCCTTTGCAATCTAATACTTGTCCATTTGAACAATTGTCAGTCATTGAAAAAGTCTTACCTGCTAATACAATAAAAGGCCACAAGATGAAAGAGGTCAGCAAAACTAATTCCTGAGCCCTCCAGAGAAAATGCTAGGAAAAAAGAACAATATACAACAATTATATGAACAATTATATCTAATCTTCAAGCATTTCCACCATTTCATCCATCAAAACAGCACTGTAGTGTCCCTCTGGATTCTTCATTTGTTGGGAATTTACAAAAAGAATTGATGGAAATTTCTGAACTGACTCTGACTCTGGCAGGTAAATTGTTCATAAGCCTCCAGCGCCTTTCTGACCACATTATTTCCCAAGGCACAGAGGATATTCAAAGCAAGATTGCCAAAAACACTAGGGTGTGTCTGATATCTCACATGCAGAATGTCTTGGAACCGCACTGCTGTAAATGCCTGAAATACTGCCAGGCTACTATTGTGACGTTTAGCATCAAATATGGTGCCTCCGTTTCAAAGCAAGCCAGTTGCAAACAGCCGCTCAGGTTATTACAACTGATTAACTACCAGTAAAACAAGAGGGAAATATGTCCTATTCTTTCACAAAAAAGAGATTTATTAAAGGTAGGGTATGGGATTTGCAAAACGGCCGGCAGATTTTGAAAATACACAACTCAAAAGGTCCTACCTTCTTTCCTCCAACGCTGGCCCTGACTCCACCAATTCGAAGAACATGGACGTGCAATCTCTCTCTCTCTCTGTATCGGGGCGACTTGCACTTACTGTGATTGGGTTACGAGCTTTGAGTATGCGCAAGAAGGGGACACGCGCGGGAGGGGGGTATGGTACGACCGTTTGATTGACGCACTTACTGTCAATGATTCTAGGTGGTCTAAGAAATTATTGGTTGGAGTTTTTCGAGCCCTGCCCATTCCAAAGATGATTAAAATGCTTAATTTTCATTTCAGTGCTTCTGGCTGTAAGTGGGTTAGGAATAGGATTTCAAGTGATTTTGAAAAAATGGTCAAAAAAGAAAATCACATACCCCACCTTTAAGTGATGTATAAAATGTGTGTGCAGTCAATAGCGAGCAATCTTTGACCTCTCGTCTGTGTGCACGTGAAAGCAACAGGCCCCACAATATCAACAAACCATAAAAAAGATAGATACCCAATAAAGACCATAAAATGAAAGAAGAAATCTCTACAAATCTTTCACAGCCAAACATACTGAACAGAAGGTGACACAGTACTCAGAAGTAAACATAAACAGATGTGAGCAGGGTGTCAACAAAAGTTAAGGCTTAGTATGATATAAGAGACCTGACATACTGTACTGGCTCTCCTTTACAGGGATGTGAATCACAGAGGAGTCTAAGGTACCATCCGTATGGAATGACAAGACCTTCTTTTGCAGGACAGATGACCTCCAGACCAAAAACACCTGGAGAGGAAGAAAGAACACATTTTTTTTTGAAGGAGGAGGATTTGCTTAAAGGCTTCTAATGCTGTGGTTGTGAATATTTTTTAAATAATATTGAGTTATAAAACGGGAGTATTGATATATTATATATTGATTGATATATTGATATATTAAATTATTTAAACATGATTCATTTTTGAATTCCAAAAGTTTTATGAACTGTATGTTCTTCAACCATAGTTATTGACGGGGGAAATAGGATTTCAGTTTGCATCTTGAATTTATGTGCTTTATGTGCTAATTTAAATTAGATTTAAACCAACACCAAGGAACTTTTCCTCAGCGGTCGCCCTACAGGTTGGAAGCGGAATTGTCCATTACCGCTGTCGTAAATAATTTAGCCTACCGCAGCCTACTGTCGCACGCGCACGTTCGCTGTTTATCCAGCACCGGTGTTGTGCCGAATTTCGACCCCCTGCCAAATTATTACCCCCCTCGTTGAAGTCAGTACCTGATTGCCTAATCCCAACCCCGCCCCTAATCCTAACCCCTCCCCCACAACTAATCCTAAACCTACCAATGCTAGGGGGGTAATAATTTGGCGGGGGTCAAAATTCGGCACAACACCGGCAGATTTGAACTAATTTGCGGGCATCAGGGAGACGCTATAGACTTGGGATGTCTGCAATGGCCATAGACAATTTGAGGAAGTGGTGGGGGAAGTGACGTATGCCGTAAAGCAGTCGAGTTTTGTAGTTCTTTTTGTGCTCGGGTTACTACCCGAAACATGAAGTTACATAGTGCGAGTAAAAGCGATACAGACAGACCACGTCAGGCTATGGCAGACGTGTCATTTAACCTATTGTAAGTCGATGTACCATCACAAGGGTCTTGGAAATATATTATGAAGGTTGAAAAGTTCCATAGTGTTGCTTTAATATAAGCGCTGTCAAATCGATTAATCGCGATTAATCACATCTACGTTTTTGTTTACATAACATATACGTGTATATATTATTATATTTATAAATATTATATATATATATATATACACAGTAGGTCTGTGGGTGTGTGTGTATACAGTACTTATACTGTATATACAAACACATTTATACATACATATATATATATATATATATATATATATATATATACACACACACACACACATATATAACATAATAATATATACACACACATATAATATGTAAACAAAAACTTTAATGTTAGAGATTTGACAGCACTAATTATTATTAATAATGTGTTAATTTAAATACCTTTAAGTCATCATGAGGTCCCCTATTGGGCCCCGGTCCCACTTTAATGTCAACAATATCCTTGAGTCATTTGCTCTTTTATTAGTCTCTAATGAGTCTTGAAATGTATTCATCAAAAGTTTCTAGTTGATATTTTAACAGTAATTAAATAATGGAAAATCTGTAATCCTTTATTCATCCTCATGTAATAGAGTTTGAATGAGATGAGAACTATTGTGGAGGGCAAAATGTTTAGTACATAATAATCTTTCCAAAACACAAAGCTATTATTATGGCTTCAGATTGAGAAAAGATGCATGAAACGTTTTACAATACTTTTGTCATTTCTGGAGCTGTATAAATCATCTACTTAAAAGAAAGAAAGACGGAAAACAGCACAATCACAATCTTTCACAATAGTCAAATGTGTCTGAAACAGCCACGTGGCAATTAAATGATGACAGAATTTGAAATTCTGTGAACTATTTCTTTAAAAGAAAATCTGTCTGCGTTTACCCTCTCTAACATGTTTTACCCCAGCTTGTTGCTGCCGCAGGATGCCAGTGGCCTCTTGCTGGTCGATGGAAAGCAGAAGCCAGATGGGGTGTGTGTGTATCAGTTTGTCCAACACACTCACACTTGTGCTTGTACCATGATCCCCATCAAACACAGGATACTGTAGACACACAGCACTCATCTCTCCCTCTATCCTACAGAGAACAAAACAGGGGATGTGTGTTTGATAGAGATATCTTTTTATGTCCTTTAATGGAAGAAAAGACTGACTATAGACTGGCGCCCTCTAATGGACACTGTAAAACATATAGAGGTTCTTTAGAAATGTAATGACATTTTACAGTCCATAAAATGAATAGATTTTGAAAATTTAAAAAGATTTTAAAAGCAATGCATCTATTAAGAGTACAGGTAATACAGGCACTGTTGCATTTAAATGCACTCCTAGTTAGCTTATAACACAATTATGTTATTAATGCATTGTCATCATGTGTACGGCATGTGTACTCACTCTATGAACATAGAAGTGTCTGGATCTCTGACTGGATCTTGGTCTTTTTCCTGCGAAGCATGAACCATTTGCTGCTCCAACGTACTCAGTGACAATGCAAACGCATCGACAAGCTGCACATGGATAGAAAAATAAAAGCAAAATCTTAGTTGTCCAAGCACCTAAACATTTAGGTGAATCTGCAGTGCCTTTTTAAAAACCACATTGCCAATATTGCTAGGCAAGAATCTATGAAACCGAGAATCTGACAGGAAACCTGAAGAGAACAGTAAAAAAAAAAAAAAAAAAAAAAACCAGAAACCTGGAAAATACTGTAAAAATAATCAAGCTGAAAGAGGCTTATTTGTGACCAAAACAAGAGAAACAGCTTCAGACTCCTCGGACATCCATCTACGAGCAGGAAGAAAGTTAGTCAGTTTCCTGTGTTCTTAATCTACTCTCCCGAACAGGAAATGGGATTTACCATGGCAACACAACCCAACCATCACAACGCAGTGTTGTAATGAACCATTAAGAAGTCCTGCATTTTCATTTACTCTGTGCAAGTGCTTACATGTGATCATGTAGATATGTAAATAAACTACAAACTAAACTAAAAACATGATTAGCCAAAAGTTTTTTTGACTTTCTTTCTTTTCTATGAGGTCTATGACAACCAAACGACAAGACAAATGGTAAATTATTGGTGGGTTTACTGGTTTCTGAGGTATTCTGGGTGGTTTATATTATGTTACTTTGTGGTATCTTTGCTGCTAGGTTGCTGGTTGTTAAACTGGTCTCTGGGCCCTCCTGCAATGTAAGTCCATGGGATTTTTGGATGCATTTGATTGTCCAGTAAATAGACCTTTTTGAAGTATAATAGCACATCTCTCCTCAACAAGGAGCATGATTTGAGGTAACATGCATGTTCATTGAACAAATGGAGCAGGACTAGTTTTATACGGTTCGCAAACTCTTTATATATTATATAAATTTGAATTTTCTGCATAGTAAAAACAACTGTGTACTGTAGTTTATGGATAAACAACATAAAAAGCCATGCCTGGCAGGCTGTTAGTGGCATTCAAACAAAAACTACTTTCAAAGTAAAGTAATGTTTCCAATATGCCACTATCGTGACTAAATGTAAATATTTGGAATCACTGAGCCAACTTCCTGGGCTTTTATTGTTGACCTGCAATTTTGGAATATTTGTTATTAAATTGCGTGTCATTAAATGCAGATAAAAATAGTCAAAAGACAACAATTCTTTCAGATTTATGTTGTAATTCCTAGTACTGATTAATTCACGGAGTGAACGTCATTTAATAAAATATATACTAGGTAAGATAAGCTTGAGGTGAGTGAGATGGAAGATGAGGAAGGAACAGAGAGAGCAAGTGTTTAGACTGAATGATAAGATAAAAAAAAAAAAGCTCTGTGAGAAGAAGCGATGAAGGACTTATTAAGGAGAGAGAGAGAGAAAGAGAGATGTACAGACACATCTATGGGACGCTTGAATGGTTCTGTCTGGGCAGGAAGCCCTGCTGCAGCCCCACACACACACACACAAACAGACACACACACACACACACACACAGGCGCAGACGCAGACACACACACACACACACACACACACACACACACACACACACACACACACACACACACACACACACACACACACACACACACACACACACACACACACACACACACACACACACACACACACACACACAGGCGCAGACACACACACACACGCACACACACACACACACACACACACACACACACACACACACACACACACACACACACACACACACACACACACACACACACACACACACACACACACACACACACACACACACACACACACACAGGCGCAGACACACACACACACACACACACACACACACACACACACACACACACACACACACACACACACACACACACTGTTCCATTGATTTTTACAAGAAACATCATACAGCCAGTGAATGTACGCAGTGGAACAGAAAATGTTCTTAAGGAGAATGGGGATATTTATACTAATCCAAAAACAGTTCCTGCATGAGCGCATTGGATAATGAGAGTTTGTAGCACCATCTGCGTGTCCTGCTCTTATTAAATTGTTACGGAAATGTTTAAAGCCACAAAGGAAAAACTGTTGTAAGCACATAGATTTATAAATTCAGAAACATGAATTTGGAGATAAAAAATATTTTAGTGCATCAATGGAAAACATTTACTGTACATCTAAAGGATCTTACATCTTCATTTACTGATGCCTTCTATTTGAGAGTGTGTAGTAATGAAGTAATAAGGCCAGGACCACTGTTACTATTACATCTGTAAATCGTCCCGCAATGTTTTTGCTATGAGTATAAACCTAAAGTTTCTGCCTCAAATCATGCAGTTTGTTAAGGAGAAGTGTGTGTGACTAATTTTCTATGATTAGATTTTACAATTTTTACCAGTCAGACAGTAAAGCGGGATAAAAAAAAAATCAAAAAAAATCCCAGAGACTTCAATTGAGAAAGGAAATCAATCAAATGATATTTATGGTCCAGAATATCATAAGAGACCTGTGAGTGAGTACTTTTTATTTGGGCCAGTAAAAAAACAACAACACCTAGGCTACATCCGAAAACTTAAAAATGCTGCATTCGGAGGAAGCTTTCCAAAGTGGGAAGGGATCAAAGCACGTCCGAATCCAATGTTAGCTTCAATTCCTGTCTCCTGAGATACCTTCATCTGATCAATTGTTGAAGGCAACATAGATGTAGAAACACTCGACTCAAACAACATTTTCTTTTCAACATTGTCTCAAATGTTGTCCTTTATTAGTCGGGCTCCTGTTAAGTGCAGGTCTACATATGAACGCAGTATAAAACACAGAATGGTCATTACCTGAAGAAAGCTGCCACTTCTGTCTATCCGACTGAGTTGTAAAGATGAGTCCATCGCCATGTTGCTCTTGTTGATTTAAAGTCCTGGAAGTAAAAGAAGGCGTTAGGATCACTAAATAATGTGATATCTCCGATTTATCCGACCCTGATATTCAGAATGACAGATGCATACGTTCGTACTATATTTGTCACCCTCTTGTCTCCCTTTTCATTCAGTCATACTCTGTAGGGGTTTTATTATTATAATGGATGGAAGATTTCGTCTGTGAGCCTGTATTTAGAGTCTAGAAGCTGTAATCATTTCCTCAAAGAGTCAGTTACACACTGATGGCCCTGTCTGCCTGACATTTCTCGAATCTATTGAACACATGTTTTTCTTAAGCAATACTTGTTGTTGGCCCTGGATCTAAAATGACAGTATAATGAAATGAATGAGATTATACTCACTCCAGTTCACCTGCAGATTTACTGAACAGCTAATCGTAGATCAGGGAAGTTATCGTGATTATGAAAGCATACCTCTCGCTTTCTGAACTGCAGCATCAATGGAGCATTGTTGTGTTCTCCACACTGTTGATTCTGTCTTTAGGGACGTCCATAGTCTGGAAATAGTCTGAAGTGAAACTAGTGTGTATGTGTGAGTGCGTAACACAGCTGCAAACAGACAAAGACACATGTAAAGACATTGAGAGCGAAAGAGCAATAGAGGTTTTTAAAGAGTGCATCAAATTGTGGTTTGTCACATACACAAGTCGACAGTCTCTCGACCAACTTTATGAAACCTAAAAATCACTGAAAGAGTTCCCTTGCGTGCTGGACACCACACATTTCGTGAAAAAGACACATATTCCATTTCACACACCAACGACAATAAGAGGAATCTAAATCAATCTAGTTCCTATATCTATTGTAAGAACATAATTCTTAGTAACCCGAAACCACAGAAAAACACACGCATACATCACAGAAACATTTCTCAATAGGCAACGAGGTCTAAGGCTAAAAGTCTGTTTCTCCACAGGAGGGTGAATGCTCCACAGCTCTCTACCCTCATTCACCCTCTTTTTTGTGCACACACACACATACATACATCTTCCAGTTTGTTCCTGTCACTACAGTATATGGAAGCAATTTGATGTGATATATGCATAAAACATCCTGACAGATGGACCACATCATTACACCATTACTCAATGCATGCTGGTGCCATCAGGGGCTGGAGATACCACAAACAAACTGGAACCATGATTACACTTAGTTTAACTTTTTTGTAGACTAGTAGATATGAAAAAAATGCTCCTTTACACACACACAAACACACACACACACACACACACACACACACACACACACACACACACACACACACACACACACACACACACACACACACGCACGCACACACACACACACACACACACACACACACACACACACACACACACAAAATACTTTTAAGAAGCGGACAAAGTACATTAATGTTTTTAGATTTGTGGAGTAAAAATTATTGTTTCTATTTTTTAAGTGAAAATATAAAACAAGCCACTCGGGCTCAATATTTCAATGAGTTAAATGTACAAACGTTAAATGTATTAACTAAATTAGCAAATTTATTTATCCATTTCCCTATTTAGAACACATTGGCTGTTCACAACAGTTTAGAAAAAGAAAGAAATGAAAGGGTTGAAATAGAGAACTCGTGAGTGAATAAAACAGTTAAGTTACACAGCATAGCGTTTTAAACAGGGAAAACAAACAAGCCCAAGCCAAACCGAAATAATGCTGTTAACGCATTTAACAACTAATTACGCAATACTATGAAATAGGAAAAATTATATTACATAGACCTACTATGAGTGCTCCTCTGCAGCAGAAGACATTGGCTGTATGCTTCTATGACAGTCCAGTGATTCTGCTATCCGACAGTTTGACACATCCATTTCACATCCAATACTACATCACATGATCACATGACTGACGCTGCAAAAAACCGAATGAAACAAACAATGAAAAACAACTTTTATAGGCCTAATCATAAGAAAACATGTACACTTAAAATTTAAACGAAAATCACATTAAAGTATTCTCCTTAGCCTGTTTTTATAATTATAAAATAAAATGTATTCATTATAAATAATCAAAGCTGCACATATACACATCTGTTTTTCACGTTCAGGAATAATCCTACTTAAAGTCCCAACATGCAATAAAGCAGATTACCTCACAAAAGCGCTTTTGTGCTTTGTTAGTTGGTCACACTCTTTATTAGATTCTAAACTCAAGTGCAACTTAAATTAACTGTCCAGTTTCCTTTGACTGCCACCAGCTCTGTACGTCACCAGCAAAGCATTTTTAAGTAATGGAAAATATAGCCATGAATAATGATTTAACTCTGTAGATCTAAACGAGATCTTTAAATAAGATGAAAATATAATTTATAAAAAGAACAACGCTACTTTTCCAGTTATGCAATCAGCAAAAAACAACACGCACTTTTCTTTTCCATTTTTATTAAAACATATCACAGATATACATTCAAATAAATTAGATGGTCTAGTAAATATTCAGGTATGTTCAAAGCTGTACTAAAATACTACTGATATGAGCCTGAGTCTTTTTTCTACTAGTAACTGTAGAGCTGCCACTTGTTCTTGAAGTTATATACAATCCAAGTTTTAGAAGAAAATGCAACTGGGCACAATTTGAGAGGACAGTAATGAGACAGAGTCAGCGGCATGAGAGATGTCCCTGAAGACAGCAGCATTGCCCTGGAAAATCTGCATCTGCAAGTGGCAAAATTCATAAAAAACAAAGAAATACAGTGAACAGACTGCGCTATTTGGTGTCAATCTCCAAAGTGCAGCCTCTAGAGCTTGATTCATTTCAACAAAAATAGAAAGAATTAACCCATTGACAACTCATTTACTGAATTATATTAAATAAGAGGTAGATAGATAGATAGATTAGATATTGTTTAATAAATAAGAGACTAGAAGCGTGACTGTGGCAGTTTACGGTGAGGTACTCTACGGCTCCCGCTCAGAGGACACGTCTCCGTCGGCTCCGCTGCTGGCGCTGGGATCAGCTTTAGAGCGGGGCGCTGCCTTCTCTCTGCTGGACTCAGAAGGGCCTTTTGAGCGGCTTTTTTCTTTTCGCTGCTGTTGCTTCTCTTGTTTGTACAGCTGAGGTATGAAAAAAAGGAAGAGAAGCAAACTGTTTTATGGGTTCATGCAGTCCCAAAATAAAGTCATGCAGTACTAAGCACTGATAAAGAATTTACAGTTTATCAAGAAGATATTATTAAGGCATCCTTTGCAGCACAAGATACCTGTTTAGGGTCTGTTGGGCCAGTAGGAGACTCCAGCTGAATGGTCACAGGTCCATCATTCTGAATAAGTACCTGCATTTTAGCACCAAACTGCCCATCTACAAGACAAAGCTGCTTAGTTTCCAACCTTTTTACTAACAGAAACTGGGAGTTTTGATGTATTAATTAACAGCAATTCATTTTGGGATTCATTCAGAAAATTCAAAAACTGCATATAAAAAAACAAACAAAAAAAACAGTTACTGACAATACAGTTATTATAATAATAGGAGGGTAAGTGGTGTATTGAACATTTGGAATGTTTTTACTTTTTAGCATTTCAATTAAGTCAGATTGTTTTAATAGATTGAAATGTATTAGGGTTATTATTATTAACTAACACTAACATTTCTCTTAACTGACAAAGTTGAATAATAATAATAATAATAAAAAAACTAAATAGCAATATAAAAAAAAGACAAAAAGTAGATAAAAATGACAAAAATAGCAAAAACACAACAAAATGACTACAAATTAAACTTATATTATATATAATTTAGCACTTTTAATGATTAATACAATTATTAAATCAATTATTTATTTAATTATCTATTAAAGGGATAGTTCACTTTGAAATTAATTTTTGGTATGTTTTAGCTTACCTCAAGGGCATCCAAGATGTAGGTGTCTTTGTTTCCGCAGAAGTTTCAATTTTGATATTTTTAGGTCAAACCGTTCTTGTCTGTCAGTCATATAATGCAGGTCTATGGTCACCACCTCAAAGAGCATGCACAGAGAAGTCCAAATTAAACATGATTTAATGACTCGTAAATGTAAGTACACATTGATGGCCTACGACACGAAACGAGCGGTTTGTGTGAGAAAACGAACAGTATTTATATCGTTTTTACCTCTTGTAAACACAGCCACGTCCAAGTGATCTGATGGCGCGGGCGCTTCGGTATGTGCGTTACAAGAGGTAAAAACGATATAAATACTGTTCGTTTTCTCACACAAACCGCTCGTTTCGTGTCTTAGGCCATCAATGTGTACTTACATTTACGAGTCATTAAATCATGTTTAATTTGGACTTCTCTGTGCATGCTCTTTGAGGTGGTGACCATAGACCTGCATTATATGACTGACAGACAAGGACGGTTTGACCTAAAATTATTAAAATTGAAACTACTGCGGAAACAAAGACACCTACATCTTGGATGCCCTTGAGGTAAGCTAAAACATATCAAAAATTAATTTCAAAGTGAACTATCCCTTTAATGTATTATTATAGTAATTCAAGTAATAAATAACCACTACTCTAGGCTGTCCTTTTACTAAACAGTAAGTTTGAGTTAGTTTGATTAATTATTTAGTGACTAATAGTATTAAAGGAATAGTTCATTTTTCATAATTTACTCACCCCAAAACAGTTGAAATATTCTTCAAAATATCTTCAGTAGAAAAAGGTCAAACAGGATTGGAATGACATGAGAGTAAAAATGTCATTTTTGTGTGAACTATCCCTTTAATGCAGCAAAAACCTTAAGCAAGCTAATCTTAATCAGAAGAATGAAATCTTCAGGGTTTAGCTGGTCTAGCCTCACCTTTGATGAGTTGTGGTTGATACGCTTCCCTCATCTGCTCCAGCATGCGGTTGTAGAAGGGCTGAGCCAGTTCAGCTGGCATGGCGGAGTGGAAGTCAGGCTTATTTGCCTTGAGGAGACACTGCAGAGTGAACTGACTCACACATAACACCTCCAGCCCTCCGTCCATCACGCTGCGGCTCCAGGCACGGCCGTTCTCGTCCTCAAACAGACGCAAGTTAAGAATCTTACGTACCCTGATGAACAACATCATACTGATCAGACGTACATATTTGACATTCCCTGGTCACTGTAGGCTAAAATGTCAAAGAGCAGCATGAACATTCCTTGAAACATCTTTAAGGAAATACATTTGAAAAACAGGGTGAAATAATGACTACAGAAAATTAATTTTTGACTCAACTGGTCCTTTAAGGCCACAATGGCACTACATTTACACATTTCTACGTTTGTCCCTCAGGAGGAGAGTAAAGAAGTGCATTTACTTGAGCATTATTTTGGGGTTTGTACTTTACTACTCTACTACTAGTACAGGCACAAATTGTACTGAACTAATCAGCAACAAATCAGCATATTAGAATGATTTCTGAAGGATCATGTGACACTGAAGATTGGGGTAATGGATTAGTTTTACAATCTCTTTTTGAAGAGTCAAAGTTGTAGTTGCGTAGCTGTCAATGGAGGGACAGAAAACTCTCAGATTTCATCAAAAAGATCTTCATTTGTAGCCTCGTGAGACCATCCTGATCTCGCGAGCTTTCAAGGTTTCACTCGCAGATCAGTCTGGATACTTTCCGTTAAAGAAAATTTGGGAGCAGTTCACCAAACGAACGTCCAATCAGCGTTGGCTTTGAGGCGGGTTGAGGTGTGACGCAACGAGAAGCGCGTCAGTTCAGTCTAAAGAACATGTCGGCTTCAGCGGATGAAACTAGCATCAGCGTGGCTATCGAGCAAGTTTTATCGGAATTACAGAGTATTTCTTCACTGAAAGAAGAGCAAAACACTGCTCTGGAGGCTTTTCTCAGAGGAAAAGATACGCTGTTAGTACGTCATATGCTTCGTTGATCTGATTGGTTGATTTGGCCCGTCTATCACCAACATAGGCCAATCAGCTAACCAGTATTTTCGCCCCTTACCAAAACTACTTCAACGGAAGGTTTCCAGATGGATATGCGGAGCAAATCCATCTGGCGGAGTCAGGTTACTTCATTTGTGTTCCGGAGATGAAAGACAGTCTTACGGGTTTGGAACGACATGAGGGGGAGTAAATGATGACAGAGTTTTCATTTTAGGGTGAACTATCCCTTAAATCTTTCCTCTTTTTCTCAATTCTACTGAGCTAACATGTCTTGTCAATCAAATTACACTCCCTGCTGAACTTTTGGTTTATGGTCATGCGTCCTTGTGACGTTGTATTAGCAATAACAACAGTCTTTGCTCTGAAGCTTTTACAATGTATTGATGGATGATGTGCTGAACTCAACACAAGTGTCAATCAAAAACAACAATAGTCGAAAATCTATTGTGAAATAATTTCAGGTAACACATATCAGGACAAAAGTGTCTGTGTAACATCTTTGGGATACAGCACAAAAATCAAATGACACTTTTCCAAGATACACCACTTACTAAATCAATCCTACAGCCCTTATGAATGAAATCTGATCTCAAACAAGCAAAGAAATGAATGCAATTTCTTAATTTATTATATTAGATATGAACTCATTTTGACCAGACATCAGTACTTACATGTAGTCAACATCTTTCTGCGTGTCCTCCACTGAGATGCCAAGTAAGACACACAGTCCTCTGCCTATGGAACTGATCTGCTCCTCCCCAACTGTTTCATAAAGTGCATGGATGACATCACCGTACAGTAAAGTGCAAGCAACACGAGCTGTCCTTAAAATTATATTTAGTGCTAATCTGAAAAGTTGTATCTAATGCGTAGATTTCAATGCATGTGTATAGTTGTTATTAAGTTATTAATGTTAAGTGGAGCACATTACTGACAGCATTGTGTTGCACATACTACGCTGCATTCAGTTTCATTTCAATAAATTAACCGAAATTATAGGAAGGAATCAAAAGAGCGCCCAGCTGACAACAGCATTCGCTACGAAATTAGGAACTTTGTGCCGTACCTGTTACGCTTGCCTTCGTTACTCTTTGAATGGTCGCTTTCATTGTTTTGGTTTCCAAATTCCAATCATGTGCAACCGTGTGTGTGCAACACTCGAACACATTGATCTTCCGGTTTCTACGAAGCCCCGCCCATGTGTGCGGCCGCGCGCATTGACGCTTCTGCCCCCTTGTGGACTAAAAGCGCAATGCCTTAAATTATTTCAGATATTCAGGCGTTTGACTAGCATTTGTCAATAATTCCGTTTAAAAATCCCCACTTCATTGGATACTCATATAAAAACATTAAGGCCTAGTTTCACATACAGGGCTTAGTAGCCAGGAGTGGGCCTTATTTAATTTAGGTGGCTTTTATAAATTTGCCTTACAAAAAAATGACTGGTGTGCATCTTGAGACAAAACAATGGCATATGTTAAGATACACTGTATTGCCAAAAGTTTTGGGACGTCTGCCTTTTGATGCACATGAACTGTGGCCATGGAAGTGATTGGAACACCTGAATTCAATGATTTGGAGGGGTGTCCCAATACTTAGTGTAAAATAGTGTATGTCAGTGTAAATTGCTTTCAGTTAAGACTGCTCAAACATGCATTTTAGAAGATATTTTGAAGAATGTTGGTAATCAAACGGTTGACTGTAGACATTGACTTAAATAATAGGGGGAAAAAATACTATGGAAGTCAATGGGGTCCATCAACTGTTTGATTACCAACCTTCTTTAAAATATCTTCTTTTGTGTTCAACAGAAGATAGAAACTCATAAAGGTTTGGAACAACTTAAGATTGAGTAAATGTTGACTACAATTTCATTTTTGGGTGAACGATCCCTTTAATTCTCGTCTGGGAAACTGGGCATCAAGGTTAAAGCCAAAACACAACCCACCCATAAGCCTGTTTTGGCTCTCTGTTAGTAAGTGCAAATGACCATCATGCAAAAACAAAACCCCCAATAATATGAAGTGAACATTGAAAAATACATTTCCATAAACACACCAACAAATGTTTAGAAATAAGTTTATCATTCATAATATAGTTTCTGGAAAGTTTTTTTTCTTTTTAAAATAAAAGCTTGGGATTTCAGGTGCAAGTTAACTTAACAGATACCATGAACACAGTATTCATTCCTGTAGAGGTGTTGATTGATCCAAAAGAGGATCTTTAAGATGCAAGGCGTATATTCTGGTTGCACGGGAGCTTGATTCTCTTCATTTAAACTGCAGGTGAGTTGAATTGTCCCAAATGCATTCATATCTCTTTTTAATATTATTTTAAAACATGACAGTTAATCTTTTAGCTGGGAAAAAAGACTGTCAGTTTATTTCTCTTCTTCATGTTTTTCACTTTCTTTTGTAGATCTGAAGCGGTTTAAAAACCTTGTGGAGAATGGCACAAAATTCTCCCTGTGGACAATGGTGGTTTTCAAGTGTGTCGTTTCATATTTCTTCACATTAGGTCTGTTGTCTTCCTCTTGGATGGGCATTTTAACTAAAAAACAAAACAAAACAACAACAGTATATTTTGAATATGTACAATACAGTTTCAAAATAGACGCAACGTTGTCATTTCTTTAGTATAATAATGTCCCAGTGATTAGCTACTACATGACACATTTAAAAAAAAAAATGAAATCAACGACATTACTGAAAGATAAGTCAAAATGTCTGTAGATGATTTGATGACAGCTGATCTGTAACGTAAGTCGTCCCCTTGGAATTATAAGGTTCTATCTGACATTTTTGTCAAAATTGAGTTATTCACATATTCTTATTCTGTGACAACTTATTTACATTATGTGATGTGTTTTTTTAAATTGTGTACATTGTGGGACTTTTTATTGAAAAAACAAAAAGGTTCTATCTACAAAATCGAACTTGGCTCTATAAGGTTCTATCTGCGTGAGCCAATCAGCACTTGGAATGCACAGAAGAGGACCAATCAGAATCAACTTTATATGTCATGTCGCCAACTTTTCCTTGAAGACAAAAAGAAACCCCATAAAGGCATAATGCTATACATTTACAGTAAATTAAATATTCACTAAATTGTGTAGTGTTATGAAGTGGCTTCAATTTGGCCATTTTCTTTATAGTGTATTGGTTATTATTATTAATTATCAATGAGGTTATTACTAATAACTATTATGGTGACTATTTAACTATTAAAGGGTGGTGATGGCACAGTGGATAAGACACATGCCTTTGGTGTGAGAGACCCGGGTTCGAATCCACTGTGAGACACCAATGTGTCCCTGAGCAAGACACTTAACCCCTAGTTGCTCCAGAGGCGTGCGACCTCTGACATATAGGCTATAGCAATTGTAAGTCGCTTTGGATAAAAGCGTCAGCTAAATGAATAAATGTAAATGTAAATTATTATTATAGTTATTATTATCTGAATTATACAAATATGCAGTGAGTAAACTGAATATTTAAAAAAAACATTTAACATGCAAGTGTGTGTGTGTGCGCGAGTGTGTGAAAATGTGTGTGTGTGCGAGTGTGTGAAAGTGTGTGTGTGTGTGAAAGTGTGTGACTGTGTGTGTGTGTGTGTGAGTGAGAGAGAGTGTGTGTGTGTGATTAAAAAATTAGTCTGACATTTTTTGTGATCATATAGTCAGTGAATCATTTTTCAATGATTATTAAACTTTATGAATTAATTTGCTGAAGCATGTCGATTTTCTTGTAGTTTTTAAAGTCTTAAAATGTCTTAATTTTTACAATTTTAAGCCTTAAAGGTCAAATAGTTAACAATTTCATTGATGGGGTCTTAATTACAACAATAAACGTTAGCATGTTATTTCAGCCATACTGATGTCTAGAGAGAAAGCCATTTCACCTGGCCCACTTTAGCTGGAATAAAGTCCTGCTCAGATGTATTACAGTAGCTGCTTTCTGTCTAAACAAAAGAAAGATTAAAGTAACAATTTCTGCAATAATGTGTTTAATTACCCACCAAATTGGTAACGGAAATTAAGATTCTGCACTGGACAAAATATTTAGACCTACCTTGCTTAATTTGAAATGTCCTAAATACACGGAAGTGCTAAAAAATATGAAATAAATGTCATAGAAAGGATAAAATATTACTTTCTAACACATGTTGAGACATTGTTACAACATTAATTTTATATTTAATGTTCAAATAATGTTTTGGCAGATAGAACCTTATAATTCTAAGCGAAAAGTGTTTTTTTTAGAATTAGAAGGTTCTGCGTTTGACCCATTCCAAAAAAAAAATATTTACAAATTTGAGAGGATTTTATATTTAGAATACATTTAGGGTCCCTGTTATTTTCATGTTTGAAAGAAACTTGTTCCCCATATAAATTTTCCTATATGTAATGCAAAAACTTTGAAGCTCAATATCTCAAAACTGCTCAGAACGCAGATAGAACCTTATAATTCCAAGGGGACGAAGTGTCCTGTTATAATTCACCTGGAAGATGACCATTTCCGTACATGTATTGGTAAAATCCGTAACCAAGCATGGTCCAAACGCCAACAGCATAGACCAGTGAAGCACGCCGGTTCCAAAATACAGGGTCCATCAGTAAAATAATGTAAAATATTAATTCAGGCTACTGGCAATAACACTCACAAGGACGCTGCCATATTAAAACATGTCACTTCCGTAGAGAATGAGCGACCAATCAGAACGAGTGCCTTAAATATGCGGGGTTAAATGGTTCCTAAAACGTTTATGAATTAATAAATTAAAATACTAGTAAACAGCGTAATAATTCCGATCTATAGTATTGTCCTGCCTAAGAAGCAATAAATAAATAAATACAAATTTGAATCCTGGTATCTGTTACTTTTCTCCGCTCTAGCCAGGATGATAAAGCTGTTGTTAGATTACTGGATATAACCCCACCCCACCCAAACCAACATTTAATACAGCTTTATTTGAGTCAAATATAAATAAAAAAATGAATCAAAAACGTCTTTAGATTTGGATGCGACTCCAAATATTCCGTTAAACCCAATATTAAGCGACTCTAGAGGGCGCAAGATTCCACTAACCGGCCTGGAGCAAAGAACGTTTCCGGTCCATTTTCTCCTATCATCCATTTAGTTTCTATTGAAAGTATTTTTAGCCTATAACATTTCATAATGCAGGCTACTCATTTTTAATTAATATCTAATGATATTTTTTTAATAATATCTAATGATATTGTCTTGTGTTCTATGGGCTAACAACAATTGTAATTATTGATGGTAACAATTACATGTTGACATTGTTAAGAATTAAGTTACATTACAAATAATCAAGACAAACTTTACAGTTAAATGAATAAAATACAAAAGTACAATGTTTTTTTTTTTATTATTGTTATTTTGATGCCACATTTTCTCAGGTATAAAATCTTGACATAAGTAAGTAGGCTACAGATGCCTCAGTCATTTTAATTTGTAATGTTTTATTTTTGATTAAGAACAGAGTTTGCACATTCAAGGTGCTCAACTTCATCTTTATCTTTTGAAATGAAATAAACCTAAAAGAGATTCTTACTATAAATATTATGCATAGCATTAGTTCATAATTGTTGATCAAAGAAAAACGGGAATGTGGGTCACAATTCACATTTAAATTCTTTACATACAACATTCATTTAATTACAGAACTGGAGGAACAGGACTAAATAACACTGTTTCTCCCTGCACGTGAGCAGATGACAGGTACAGTTCATGAGAGTGAGAAGACTGTAGATATGTGCAATACAAAAAAAAAGAAAAGAACAAACGAACGAGGAGAAATTTCAGTCTGAACATGCATGGGAAAGAGCAACAAGCAACATGATGACAGAAGACATACTCTCTTTGGGAAATCAGACGTTACAGGGGAACAAATGAAACGTAACACTTCCTGTTAGACAAAAGCCAAACTAAATTAATTAAATAAGCAAACAAACATGATAATAACTACTTGAGTAGATGAGAATTAGAAAACATCTAACAACCGTTTTTCTGGAGGACCTCGTAAACAAACATGGAGATGCATTTTGTTGTGTCAGGGTTGGATATGGAAGTTTCTCCAGATAATTGGTTCAAAAGTTCTTCTCCAATCTAAATGTACATCCTTTATTGAGAAAGTTTAAGCTGAACTCGAAACAGCCAGTTTCTTGAGATGGTCCATGAAAACTTGCAGACTAACGTCATCTGTGAGGATTGGTGCTCCGGACTCCTGCAAGAAAGATTCGTAATATTAGAGGTCATGCATTCTTGAAAGGCCATTCATTTCAAGCATCTAAGAGAAGCACATGAAAGGGTGTGTACCTGGCCCCAGGCGTAGAGGTTGTTGTGTGTCTGGGACGGGTTGACTTTAGAGAGGAGGAAGCGGGCCTGTGAACCTCCGTGCTCGGTGTCGACGTATCTGGGCATTGGGAAGCGCGTCTGCAAGATCTCCTGAGCGTCGTCCAGAGGAGCTTGAAGAAGCTGCTTGAAGTTCTCATACTCTGGCATCTCCTGGTATCCAGCCTTCCTCCACTGAGCAATAGTCTGTGAAGATGACAATGACACCATCACTAAACTGAACCAATTTTATATCAGGCTCATATAGTATGATATAGCAGAATATGGAGCACATACTTGAAAAAAAAATAAAAAATTATTCAGAGCCCCAAACTGAGCAAAAATACGTAATTTGGTGCAGTTGCTGATTTATACAGCCAAAAAGCCAAAGACGAAATTCTGATTCTGCTTATAAAGTAAATCAATGAGAGATCTTTATAACAGTATAGCGGCTACTGACGTAAAATACATATAAATATCAGTTGCCACCCTATATCTCCCAATAATATCCGTTATTAATATAAGATTTAAATGCTTAGTTTTATGTTCAAAGCTCTGTAGTTTTTATTATGGGGGCAAAAGTTATAAAGCAATGCAATAAAATGATGATTGAGAGATGAACAGATAAACGTTCCTCTAAAGCCTGATGTATCATATTTTATCACATTGTAACATGGTGTTTCCTAAAAATGATGCATGGATAATCAAGTAAACCTAAGTTGCTTCAGTCCAGTGAGTGTTCATCTTGAAATACTACTAACAATATAAGTTATTCGTATGTTTACTTTATAAAAATAAAAGACTTCACAGAAAAAAGACTCATGTACCACGACCTAAAGGTGGACGTTTTTGGAATGATACTGAATGGCCTTTTACTTGCTAAAGTAAAGCATTTTTAGGCATCATGCGTGCACTTCCAACAGGAAATGAGGTTTGCATTCCTGGATACATGCTACTTTAGAATCTGCCCAAAACGTCAATGCACTGCAATTAGCTCAGTTTTTTGGCACTGATTTTTTAAAGAAATCCTTATCTAAAGAGTTTTGATATTATTCAAGCATTTCAAGCATTTGTACCTCTCCATGGTAAATCACCAACTGGAAGAAGGTGTCCATCAACAGAATGCGATCAGGAAGGATGCTGCTGCTGTCCAGAAGAACAGGCTACAAAACCAAACAAACACAGGATGAGTATAAGCTGAACTGCATTGCTCCATTCCTTCTGCTCCATAACATTGCAGGGATGGATTTATAATCACCTCTGGAGGACCGTAGAAAGAGTACGAGTAGAGGATGGGCTGTATCATTATCAGCGACTGTGTCAGATCCTGACGCACAAAATGATGCCTGTAGTAGGACGACTCGTCCGGACTGTTATTGAACACCTGCAGGAACGGGGATCTCCTCAAGTGGAACATGAACTGTCAAGAGAAAACCAACAACTTTTAATATCAGAAATGTGATATTCCCCAAACAGAGTTTTTAAAAATCAAACTCAACACCCTTTTAAGACCTGCACAAATAAAATTAGATCATGTATTTAACTTAATTAAACAGGCACACATTGAACTGCAAAACAGGGTAACTGCAAGTTTAAAACACACAAGTCATGTTTTCTTCAATATACATATGTCCTGAAATTGGTTTTTGTACTATTATATCAATACATACAAATTAGAGGTCGGTCAATATTGCTAAAATATGCACTCCTACAACAATCACATTTCATCAACAGTAAGCAATCGCTTGGCATAACGGTATCCAATTGATTGCAAACTTATGCCGCATTTTGACTTTGAACATGCAATGCTAACATTTATTTAAACCATCACCTTTTTTTTCCCATTCTCAAAATGATAATAAAGATTTTTGTTATACCATTTAAGATATTTATGACATCTGAACCTTAAACAAACTGACTTTTTAAGCTCTATTACGTAAGAGTTTAACTGAAGGAGTCAATGTTTTACCTGTGGGTAGAGTGAGAGAGATTCAGACAGTTTGAAGGAGTTCGGATCATCTTTACTGAACTGGCCAAACTTCTGACACTGAAACCAAACATCAAACACAAAACTTGAGTGTGAAGCAACTTTTACATTCAGAATTATAATAACGGCTAAACGATTTGTCATATCGCCGCTTATGAATGGAGGCATTGACCTACATTTCCTTCTGAATAGCTGTGATACTCACCAAGCGAATGAGCTGCCTGTCCAGCCAGCGGAGAACGTCAGGCCCCTCCTCCGACTCCGCCCTGAAAACACCGAGCCGGGCCATAAGAACGGCTGAGGCTTCCTGATCAAATGACGACTCGATGTGCTGGATCTGGGACTGTGCGTCAGCCCAACTAGGTGTGACAACAGAAAGAACCGGTTTGTCGAGAACAAATGACGCACAAATTGAACACTCAAGAATTTGGGCTACAGAAGAGCTATTCAGGAGTAAAACTACACGCATTAAGTCTATTTTGAGCAACAGCAAACACAAATGGAAACATGAGATATGTAGACTGTAGATAACTTGAAGGCCACATCAAACGTTTATATCAACATCAAAAGAAACGATCTTATGAATGAAAAGGAACAACCGAGTCAATGACTTCAACACGATATCGACTGATATCAGAATTTCATGAGGTTGTAAGCTGAAACCCAGACTCACTTCCTAGCAATGGTGGTGACACGGATCCGCCGCTGTGTGTTTGAGTGCTGGTACTGTGTGACAAACTGAACAGCTCCTCTTCCACCCTGAGGAACAGGGGCGTTGTGCTATAAAAATATAACATACCAATGTTATTTTAACATCAATGTAAACATAAGCCTTCACACCCAAGTGCACATACAATAGAACAGCTAGCTAATTAGATGATAACATACCTGATTTACCACTTCAAAGTACATGGCCAGGGTGGTGGCAGGCGTAAGACTGCAAATCTTCCACTGACACGTTCCTCCGACGCCCATTTCCTGCAAAAAAAGGAGACATTTTCACATATGTGTATACATGGGTGAAGTCTTATTGGAATCCATTGCAAAACTAGCATAAGCGCTTCTGCATAAATTCTTGTGACTTACATTGTCTGAAACACAGGGTCCTTTGGAGTTCAGGGACACACATGGCCCGATCGCACCCGATACCTTCAGCTCTCTTGAGGTCTGATAAGGAAAAGGCAAATGGGTTTAAGAGGTTGGTTAAACAAGGGAGCATTACTTAATAGCTTACATTACTGTTCAAAAGTTTGGGGTCGGCAAGACTTTTTGAAAGAAGTCTCTTATGCTCACCAAGGCTGCATTGATTTGATCAGTAATAACAGTAATATTGTGAAATATTATTACAATTTAAAATATTTTAAAATGTCATTTTTGTAACATTATAATGTCTTTACTGTCACTTTGGATCAATTTAATGCATCCTGGCTGATTAGAAGTATGAATTTTTTCTAGAAAAAAAAATTCTAACAGACCCCAAAACTTCTAAACAGAGGTTTAAGGCCAACTTTATGTTACCTTCACTTCCAAAGTACCGCCAAACGCCATGCGGAACTCTCCGTTGTAGTCTTTGCTGAAGACTCTTTGGAATGTCTGCTTGAACAGAGACGTATTGAAGGAATCGCCCATGACAATGTGGCCCCTAAAACAAAACAAGAAATCATTTCAGCCATACATTACATTTCACTAGAATTGTTCGGCATTAAAGAAATAATCTGTTTAAATGACGTGTAAAATGATTAAACTCAAAAATCTTCAATCAATGCTCACCCTGTGAGGTTGGAAAGACATTTCATCTCTAGCAGTCCCGTCTGATCCAGCGCACAGGCGTAGATATCGACGCTGTGTCCGTTTACAGCTGCGCGGTTAGACAGAGTCTCGTAATACTAAATAGAAGTTAACAGAAATTCTTATTTAGCTTTTGAGGAATGAAACGTACTTTTTATATTTCCGGTTATCCATAAACATTCTATCACCAGATCCTTTAATTAAAGTCTGCAATCACCTTAGTGGCCTTCTTTAGATGGCGAGCGTTGTCTTTTTGGATGTCGTGCCAGGAGCGGATGGGGGTCTTCAGTTCATCTCCCACCACCATGCCGGGCCCCTGTGTTGGGGGGCCACCAGTGAACAGCATCACACGGGCTCCTGTGTTAGGAAAAGTTCCCTACGAGCAGAATGATAGAGAGAGAAAATGAATGAACTGCAAACTTGTATTTAATTTGTTCAAAACTGAATCTATATTCACACTTGTAGATCAATTCTATTGGTCCTTTTGGACCAGACCAAAAAAAAGAGAAAATTATACATTTAGTCTAGGTTCGCTTAGCGTTCACACTGTCATTTTTAACACAGAACGTAAAGATCGGAAACAAAAAACAGCTTTTATGAGATATATTTTACGACGGGACTCATCGAACATCCAAACCAATGCTGTGTGTTCGGCTTAATGTGCTCTTTGTGTGTGTGTGTACATATGATGGTCTTTCTACCAGCTGAAAACTCGTGAAGAGTTTATACAATGCGTAAAGGAGTCAAAATAGTGGCAGGAATTCCTCAGTCCTCATGACTCTCTGTCCGCACACCAAGGTTCGGATGACAGTGTTCACACTCATTCAAATAAACCGCACTAACAGAGCAATCGCACCAGAGTTTGTTTTAATCGAACCTAACATGCCAAGGGTAAACACACTCTAAATGGTTTCAATTAATTTTCACAGTGTATGTATTCCAGTCTAAACATTTTCAAACATTATTGTCGTCTTTTAAAGGGGGGAACAATGCATGCTGAAGTTAAATCACTCATGCGAGATTTATTATCAAACAAACCCAAGAGTGCAGTTGGTAGTCTGAGTCTGAATCTTATCTTGAGAGTTATGTAAGAATAATGATTGGGTTGAGTACTAGGTACAACTGTTCTGATATGACATGACAGCTGAAGTGGACCTTGAATCTCACAGCCAGCATTACTGACAACTCACAGCGAGACCACAGTTACAATGTAAGGGGAAAAAAAATTCTCTGCAGGAAATCTCTCCCACACAGTAGTGAATGTTAGTTCAGTGAAGATGCATTTCAGAATATCATCACCTAAACTAAGTGTTTCCAGAGCTTTCCACATTTTTACATTCTCTCAATCCTTTTTCGGTCAAATACAGATTTTATTATACCATACAAGATGAGATTTTTAAACGAATAATGTGCAGGCTGTACCTCCAATAGTCCAATAGCAATGGAAAGGGCGATGCCTGTGGAACGCAGAGGTCTCTTCCCCTGAGGAACAGGCCAAGGGTCTCTCTGCAACTCCCCAAGCAGGTCGGTCAGGTTCATGTCCACTGCTTGCACAGGCTGCAGAAATCTAAACAACCAGGTGCAAAGAAAATAGAAAATGAGCAAACTGCCTTCATGTAAATCGTTTTCATGCATGCTGGAGAGAGTGACGATTTCACAAGGTAAAATGTTGATAATCTCATACCTGCAGGAAGCAGCAGCATCATGGGGGGCTAGTGGTTTGCCTTGCTGTCCAGAGGTGGCTGGTTTCATCAGTCCCAGCATCTCCTGCAAACACATGACGCACCTGATTCATTTCACTGAAAACTCTGGATTTATACCCTCTCTTGTTGGCTTTTTTAGGAATGGTAAATCAAACACAATAAAGAAAGATCACTGACCTGTATCTGTTTGGGTGAAAGCTCCTTTGTGCCGCGGAAGACGAAGCTCTTGGCAATACCTTCACAGCTGAGCTCATGGACCTGAACCATACGGCCAAAGGTGATGAGACCCACCAGGGCGTTGGGGGGCAAGAGACTCAGAGACATCTGTAGGGATTCTTTTAGGGCCTGGAGGTCTTCCTCCTCCAGGCATGTGTCCACCACATACAGGAAGATGAGAGGGGTTGGAAGTCCACGCTGAAGAGAAATACATCAGGTTACATAATGGTGACGACAATACTTGCAATAATTACAAAAAATCTTATATCGTTATTTAAGTTAATTTATTGATATTTATTTTGTTATATTACTCGTATGAATAAATACAGTATTCAAGGCTCAGTGAGACTTTTTAAAATTAAATTAATACTTTTATTCAGCAAGGACGAATTCAATTGATGAAAAGTGACAGTAAAGGCATTTTTATTGCTACGAAAGATTTCTATTTGACATAAATGCTTTTCTTTTGAACTTTCTATTAATCAAAGAATACTGAAAAAAAAAATCAGTGAGAATAGGAGACTTCCTTCAAAAACATTTAAAACATCTTACTTTGGAACGGTATGTTTATATTGACAGGAAGAACACGTATAACTTTTAAACTTAAATAAGAGAAAGTTTTACATTTTTTAAAATGGGTCACTTATTTAAATTCACTGATAGCATCATCACACAGAATGACAACGTGGCTTTTAACAAGCATCTGTCTGTGAGCTAAAGGAGTTGTAGCTAGTCTATATGTTTGTACAGTACAATGTCTATGTACACTACAGAGTAAACAGAGTAAATGTAAATTTACCTGCACTATGTACTCAATGGTGGAGAACTGAGGCATTAGTTCTGCGGGCTGGTTCACTTCTGAAATGCCTGCGTACGATGGAGGAAACTGTGAAGAAACAGATGAATATTTACTTGCAGTGACAAGTGTGACTGATGCTAGAGAATCACATGGACCAAAGCCAAGAATGAAAATGAGTTTATTCAGTAATGTATTCTTACAGAGTTTCTCTGGAAGCAGAAGTTGCAGGCCCATATCTTGGCTCTGAAGTCCACTTGACTACAAAAAGAAATCAAGTGTTAAATGGGCTAAAGTTGTCTAAGACGAACCCTTTCATAAGCGAGTCATTAGCACATGAAGAGAAACAATAGTCTTCCTTCATTCACAGCAGTTAAAAGCAACAATTAGCAGTTCATTAACCTGACCCAATTAACATACACAATGACAATGTGAGTAAATAACTCTTTATAGATAACATTTTAAAAAGCTCTGGAATAATGTGATTAGCAAGTCTGCAGAAAACTATAGGAAAGGACCAAATCTCCACTTAAGCAAAGCACTATTTTACTAACCCTAAATTAAAAACAATCAAAACCAAAATACAAATGTTGTGTTGTGCTTTATTGTGGTTACAAATTGACGGCAACAACAATATGATAAAAGACACCAACGTTCAATTAAAAAGACAGAATGAACTGTTCTTTTGCTGACTGTAAGCTTAATTCCAGTCCACCAACTAATTAGTCATTCAGATATCATAATGAAATGTCATCATATTATTTATCTATAATGGCCACACACTGTACAAACAAACAGAACTCAACACTGCTTGGAAAAGTGATTCAGTCCTTACCAGAGTGGGTTGAGTACGGCTTTGCAATTGGCCCGGCTGCACAGTACGGGCTCGTACTGGACGGGAGGCAGGTCCGGTCTCTCTTTGAGAGGAGTGTAAAGGCAGGACACAGGAACCACAAGCCGTGTGGCCTCCAGGCGGCTGGAAGGCCAGAGGTTCCAGCTGCAGCGTATTCCATCACGATCCTCGTTCTGTTGGATGAACTCTTGGTAGGTCGCCATGACAGTGTGAACAACTGCGAACGACCAGAAAGAGCGAAATGAACAAACAGTGAGCAGAGAAGTCTTTTTAACCCTAAACCACACCTAATGGGTTGTGTCTCCAAACTGGACGAGTAGGATAGCAGAGGGTAAAATTAAAAGCAAATACCTGAGTGACAAGTACTATTTCGCCCATGTCAGCAATGTGAACGGACATTGCATTCTTTTATATTCGTTCTGACTGAAGGAATTCTTTCACGCAACTGTCATCTTTGAACAAAGCCACTTGGCTAGAGTGGTTAATATCTACGCCAAACCCCAAACGTCAATAAGAAGTTGTTGATCAGAGATCTGCGTAGATGTTTTGAGGAGCAAAACCAGATGCTATTTTTAACACACACCTGTCCTAGAATACCTACACTCTCAGACAAAAATGTACAAAAGTTGTCACTAGGGCAGCCCTCTTTCAAAAGGTACTGGTGTACTATTTAGGTTACTAGTATGTAGGCCTAGGGGTAAATAAGGTACAAAGGTGTAACTTTTGAAAGGGTACTGCCCTAGTGACAGCTTTTAAACATTTGGTTTCTGAGTACGTACTCAACTCAAGCCACAGGTTTGCTGACTAGACACATAACAAAGTATTAGAGAAGACTTTAACCTCTGATAACCCTAAACCAGAGGGATCCCTGGAAATGCTAAATCATGGTCCAATACCAGTATTGACTGTTTTGTTACACAATGATAGAGTTTCCAGACAGGCAAGAACTCACTGTTCCATGACACTAGACATGATGTGCATGACAGAAATCACAAAATAAGAAAAAACTACTAGGATAAAATACTGAATGAGTACAACAAACTGTTAATGGTCAGCAAAGTTGACACATTAATAACAACTGATTGAAGGTTCTTAAATGTATTGCATTGGTGTTAATATTTTACAATAGTAACGTTATATATTTTAGTAAATAAAAACATCTGCATGACATTTTAGTGGCTATTCAACTCGCGCTAGATTATTCCATCACACTTTCATTACACCACATTCAAATGAAATCAGGAGAAAAGCAAGATATACACCAGAAATATCATTTAAAAATAGATTGTCCTTAACATTATTGTCGAAACACACTGCTAAATAACGTTACATCCGTGTAACCGGTTAACACACAAACATAACTGACTTCCGTTGACCTAATCCGGGGTCTGCGATTTACATCTAACACATCACCGGGCCCCATTTCATTCCCAAAACACAGAAATAGACGTACCTTTTTAATCAATGAGGATTTTGAATCCAGGCTGTAATAAATAATATATAATAATCGTGATCACACCACCATTGACAAGTGAAAATGACTTCGTCGTGCAGGATTCGCCCCCGGCCGGTGTTCCTGGAGCTCAGAAGAGTGACGTGTTACTACACACTCGGTGCGCAACGATTGGCTGCTTCCGTCTGACGTCAAGAAAACGTTACGCCGCAGTGTCGAATTTCTGTGCGTAGATGCGTAGATGCAGCGTAGGATGCAAATTAGTTTTGCGTAAACACCTGTGCGTGACCACACATTTCTCGCATTCTTTCCATGCCAAGAAATAAAAAGGGCTACGCAATATATTTATTATATTATATTATGTTATATTATATTATATTATATTATATTATAAAAATAGCATTTAGTACTGAAATCTGTTTATTAATATCGATGGATTCATGTAATATGTAAATGAGTGCATTTTAATTAGATGTGCCTAATTTTATTGTTTTAAAAGTGTACAAAGATAAAGCCACTGTACAAATAATCTTGTGTAATGTGTAATTTAATATGGTTTTATTCAGAGTAAAACATTAGGTCAAGGGGAAAAATGTCACTGAATCTGTCAGTCGATATAATTAATATTATAATATTATTAAGTAGGCTGATTCTATATTTTCTATATGTCTCAGAGGCAAGTGTAGACAATATGAAGGGGGTTTTTAATGAAAAATGCACACAAATCAGCTTTGAAAACGCACTTTAAAAACTGAAACTATGATGTTCTCAATTTTTTGTGAAACATTTTTACACTTAAAAATATTCAGTACATTTTAAAGCTGTGAAATCACTCAAATATACATCGAATTGGGTAAATGTAAAATTAAGTTGAGGAATAGCTAAATTTGGTAACATGACAAATAAAACTTAATAGTTAAGGCAATTCAAATATTTGAGAAAACCATTTAAAAGCTAATATTTATGAATACTGTGAACTTGAATTGAACTTGAATCCACATATTTTGGTATGTCCAACAACTCAAATAATCACTTAAGTAATCCAGAGATTTTATTAAGGTAGGCTAAGCAAAGTTTATTATTGTGATATACAGCCACATAATTATTTTATAGAGTGCACTGAATGCAGAAAAAGTAACTACAATCTAAAAGGTTTACATCCAAATATACAAGAAGGTAGACAGTAGAGCTGTATAATCGAACATAACTTAATTTAAATTATTCATGTGTAGTACCTCAATGTGTCCATAGATGGCGCATAGATACAATCTTAAATGCAACTTTCACAACAGCATCACCTCACAACACGCGCACACACACACACACACACACAAACATGGACGACACAAGCACAGTGTGTGTGTGTGTGTGTGTGTGTGTGTGTGTGTGTGTGTTAGAGAGAGTAGAGAGAGAGAGAGAGAGAGAGAGAGAGAGAGAGAGAGAGAGAGAGAGAGAGAGAGAGAGAGAGAGAGAGAGAGAGTCGCTGCAGTCACGCTCATTTCTCCGGAGCTCAGGCTGAGGATGCTGCCGTCTCTCCATGAGGATGGTGAAGCGCGCAGAGGCAGACGGAGGCGAGCGCATCGGGCCGCCTGAAAACACCCACATCTCCCCTGCTATCCTATACCGTCACTTTTCTAAACTTACAAGAACTATGAATAGGAGTCGATGCTGAATAATCCGCGCGGACTTGTTCTGTATGCCGCCGCCTTTCTTCTCCTCGTCAGCTGCATCAGCTGTTGCTTTGGGAAAAGTCGAGGCGACTCCCACTCTAAGGGCATCGGATACGGGCATCACTCCACGATGCGTCCTCTGTCTCCCTGACTCCTCCTAACAGCCTGCCTCATTAATATTTGATCAGCACCTGGTACCAGTAGCAGCTCACCTCTTCTGATGGAGCAATCTCTACAAGCACAGCCTGGATCTAAGGCGTCAGAAAGTCCAGCAGAAGAAATCACCAACCTCACGGATGAAGAGCTCCTCCAATGGAGCAAAGAGGAGCTGGTGCAGCGACTCCGAAGGTCTGAAGCCCATAAAATTAGCGTCATCCTGGATCACAGTAATCTGATTCGTGAGGTGAACCGCAGCCTCCAGCTGCATCTGAACGAGATCCGGGGGCTGAAGGTGAGCAGATCATGGGTGTCTGGAGCACACCTGCGCTCATGAGGATGCGCCAGAAACATCATTCTTCCTGTAGGAATAACGCCTTGAATATTTTCGTGCCGTATGCATAACTTCTGATTAAAACAACTTTGCAAAAATCAAGCGAAGCAATTAAAAACTTCTCAGCCAGACAAGAATTATATTTTCGTTATTTGAGCTGTACCTGTTGTGTGTGAGCCTTTTTAACTATGAATGATGCATAAAATAAACCAAGAATGTATCTTTTAAATCTTGGAACAGATAAAAAAAAAAAAAAAAAAAAAAAACTTTCATTAGGCTATATGATCAAGCTGTCTTTTCAATATGCTGTTATTTTTCTGTGAAACACAAATGTTAATTTTTAAAAGGATTTATTCAGCTTTATTCCATACAATGGCAATTCTTAAAGTGACCACATGTCAAGCTCCAGAATAATAGTCCAAACAACTCTTGCGCTATATTTTGAAGCCATATCTTAGTTGTCATTCACTACAAATATTTTGAAGCTCTGAAATCTTAGCTCATCAAGTTCAATCATCACTCATGCAAAAAATGCCATTGCTTCTCATGTGTGTCGGGTGAACTATTGCTTTAATTGAACTCAGGCAGATGTTTGGCAAATGTGGCACGTAATAAGATCATACCTTTAGACTGTTCTATCTTAGATGAATGATGGACTTTTTTTGAACAAACCCTTTCAACCACACTTCCAAACTTAAGTCTCATAATTAATGATTAAATCAGAGTTTGTGTGGTCTCAAAATGTCCATATCTTTTATTCTTTGTCTTTAAATCAAAACGTTTTATGTAAAAACTCTCTGTAAAAACATTTTTTTGTGTTCCCTCTAATGCTGAAGGAGGTAAACCAGAAGCTGCAGGATGACAATCGGGAACTGCGAGACCTGTGCTGTTTCCTGGACGATGACCGGCAGAAGGGCAAGCGAGTGTCGCGCGAGTGGCAGCGTCTGGGCCGCTTCAGTGCCAGCGTCATGCGTAAGGATGTGGCGCTGTACCTTCAGAAGCTGACAGAACTAGAGCACAAGCAGGAGGAGGTCATTCGGGAGAACCTGGAGCTGAGGGAACTTTGTCTGCTGATAGACGAAGACAAAGGTGGCAGCGGAGGGGAAGGAGTCCAAGGTGGGGCGGGGTCCACTGGATGTCGCAATTCCATTGACAGCCAGAGTGGGCTCCTGGTACCTGGCTTGCTGCGGGACGTTGGGGATGGAAGCAGCACTTCTAGCGCAGGAAGTGCCGACAGCTCCGAACATCCACACCATAAGCAGCCACAGCCACCGTCTAGCGGAGGAACTGGGAATAAAAGCCCGGATCTCCAGAAGTCTCGCCTTGGGAAGAGAGGGGAAGGAGATCGCGGGGAGATCTCCAGCCCTGACCCTCCTGTCCGACACAGAAGCACCAGCCTGGAGTATCCCTTCATTCTGCCCCAGCCCTGCCGACCTCGCTGTGGCTCCATATCTGTGCCTGACCATCGGCTGATTAGAGGGCTAAGTCCAGAAAAGTACGGTCGATCTCTGGGCCACCGGAGTCCGGAGACTCATCCGAAGCACCATCTGGCTCCAGGGCAGCCCATGAGTCCCGAGCTCTACATTCAGAGGCACAGGGGAAGCTTAGGAGGTGGGCCTGGGAGTCCAGAGTCTAGACATATGCTGCTAGGAACGTCAGAGTTCCTCCATGACAAAAGCAAGCTGGGAGGAAGTAGTCCAGAGATGCTGAGGCACCAGTACAGCATGAGCCCTGAGCATGGGAAGTTCGGCAGCCCTGGTAGAGAGACGTCACCACGTAGACTGGCAGGAGACGAGCTGTCGCCACATCATCGGAGCCTTTACAATGGTGTGAATGGTGGGTCTGACTTGCAAAATGACACATATATGAAATTAAATGACATTGAAGGTGTGCAGTTATGCCTGATACATATTTATCCTTTTCTATCTTTATCCTATTTTCACCCAGCTTAGTATTTGCCAATAAGTAAAATATTATATGTTCCGATAAATGGCATAACGAGAAACATAGAGCATTACGAGATCCGATCAAAGCATGTGCACGTTATGCTGCCTTCATGTGCTGTTAGAAATTTCCTACTTCTCACTTCTGAAGTCTTTATTATGAGTTCATCACGTTCAATTGCTTTATTGTCGAAAAGAATAGGAATCATGGAGGATGGCAGGTTGATTCTTGCCTAATTCTTGGGGAAATCTTATTAAAGCCAAAAATGTAGAGAAGATAAATAAAATGTAAATAAAATTCCTTTTGTTGGGAACCATCTAAACATTCCCCGTATCTTGATCAGGATTGTCCAGTCCTGCTTCTGGAGGGACACTGCATGTCCTGTAGAGTTTAATCAAGCACTTGTAAAATAGAATATTATGAATATACATCAGTACACATGACTGTAATTGAAAGAGAAAGCAATTTAGATGTAGGAAAGTATATATATATAAATCAAATTTAACAGTCACTAGCAATGGGTCTCTCCTCTGCTATTTTTTAAAGTTTAAAGTTTATGGCTCACCCAACTCTGAAACTTATATAAAAATGATCTCTGAGATTCCCAATATAAATATGACTTGATTTCTCACTAGGAAACTTGTGTTTATGATAATACCGATATAGCACATGAAGTAGGCATAAGACACATAAAATCAAAAGAACACTTTTTTTGTCACCTGTTGCTGTTGTTGAGGTAGTTTCCTTCAGACTAGCCTGCCACCCACAGTCAGATTGCCATTAACCCATCCAACTTAAAATAGGGTTAATTATTTTTTACAAAGACACCAGACCTATGCCTGGTATGATTGAGAATAAAACCAAAGCAAGTGGGCACAGTGTGTTAGACTTCCCCTTTCATACAATGCCCTATTTTGCCTAATTTCTGATGCACATTTCTGTGGAAAGTTACAAACACCTAGCCCTATAGTATACAAAAATATTCTATAGCATGTGATTAGCATGATAATTACCATGGTTTATGTCCTAAAAGCATCATTAGCATTAGCATTAGCAAAAAACATCACAAAGATCTTGCTAATAGGCTACTATGGTGCTTTTTTATAACTAACACAAACACCTAAGCACACATAGAAAAATAATATAGGCTATTAAAATGCTAAAAAGCTAAATGATGTGTCTGAAATCGCATACAGTCTTACTTTGAACTTACTTTGCGACTGTTACAAAAGTATGTTCTATATAGTATGAATATGTGTAGTATGAATGAATGATGTACTACATCCATGTTGGTTTTTTCATGTGACCGTCCGGGTACTTTTCACCTACTTTTTTTAAAATACTATATATTTGGACAATCGGACTCACTATGCTGTACTGTTTTTCGTGTACTAAGGTAGTAGGCATATTCAGACAGCTAATGTCTTGTCTTTTTGCTGCTTTACGGAAGTTCTTTACGAAATCGTTATGGGATGAAAGATTTAGGCTACTGACTGTACAAAATCCCACATGATTAAAAACACACACACACACACAAATGCATATAACTTAGTTTATAAGAAATGGTGCAAATCAAAGGCTTTAGACAGCTATGTGCATATCCCACAGCTGCAGATAACGATTTCTACAGGAGAACATGCTGAGTAGTCTATAGTTCACACCACCCATAAAACACTCACCTCAAGGTGAAATATGTGACTCACTTTGCATTCATTACCTTCAAGAAATGCCCCCTTAAGATGAAATAAGAACCACGCAAGATCAGAAGGATGTCCTAATTTAAATAACTCAAAATACCAAATAACTTCTTTAGCGGACTCTTTACGTTGTCGAATTAGCTTCCCTCATCTTTACAGATGAGATTTATTTGTTATGTTTTAAGATGGAACCTCCCTGATGAAGAAATAGCATTCTGTCACTTGACAAGGTCAAAATTTAATCAATAATAGTCGTTGAAAGATATTAGCTTTACAAATTGCAAAGAACCATAAGAATTCCTTTCAGCTAAGCGCTAACAATGAAAGGTAATTGCTAACAAGATGACTGTTGTTGTCGGATGCTGTGGTTTCAGTACTGTCCTGTGTCTTAATGCTGCTGTAGACATTTGTCACTGTCACAGCCTGTTCTGGTGTTGGTCCCAAAGGGAAAACCATTGTCCACTGACCCCGTACACATCCAGATCATCCCTATCTTCCCCAGGACAACCCTAATGCTGCTCTGAAATGCTCTGTGGTTTTGATTAACTATAATTGAGTATGTGTAAAGTAATGTTTTCAAGGGATATTTTACCACAAAAATTAAACTCTATCAACATTTACTCACCATCATGTCATTTCAAACCGTCTGTAGGACATGAAAAAATGCTATTTTTTTGTCCATACAGTGAAAGTCAATGGATTCCAATGTAGTTTGGACCCTAATGTTCTACAAAATATCTTATTTTGTTTCACAAATGAAAGAAATGCATAGGCCTACAAGTTTGAAATGACATGAGGATGAGTAACATCATTTTTTAATTGAACTATCCCTTTATAGAAAATCAGTCTAATTTAGCATCTGTGTTTATTAGGTAACAGTTTACAATAATAGTACATGAATAATCATGTACTAATACCTGAATTAATAATTACTTTACTATGAACTAATGATGAGTTAAGACATGTACTAATGAGGAACTAACCTTAACTACGACATGAGTCATATGAATTCCTGCATGAATATACCATCTTCACTACACGTTAGTACATGCTTGTTAATTAATGCATTAATTAAAATTTCGGGGTAAACTAAATCAAACATGTTCTAGATCAGAAGAGAGATGTACTAAAAGGGCACAATGTAAAATTGTTCATAAATTTGACACCAGCAACTGTCACAAACATCAGTGAATGACTAGATGTCTTGCAATGTTTACATTTAACCTTTGAACACACAATGATGTAATGATGCATTCATCATTAAAAACAATTTAATCTCATTCTGTTTTAAGTGATTCCACTGCTGCCATCAATAGTGAAATACCTACACTAACACATTTATTAATAGATGCAATTTTCAAAATTAAAATCACTGTTAGCACAGGTGATGGTTATTTATGTGCTTATTTTATGGATTGGTTTACTGTCTTTATATCATAATGCAGTTGGATGTTAGTCAGTTAGGGTTCTTGCTCTTCTTTTGGGCCACAGAATGTGTCCATTTTCTAGAGTAATTTTGATTTAGTTTACCCCGAAATGTTAATTAATGCATTAATTAACAAGCATGTACTAACGTGTAGTTAAGATGGTATATTCATGCAGGAATTCATATGACTCATGTTGGGTTACTTCCTCATTAGTACATGTCTTAACTCATCATTAGTTCATAATTATTCATTCAGGTATTAGTACATGATTATTCATGTACTATTATTGTAAAGTGTTACCGTTTATTGCCTACCCATGCAAAAATAAATATACTTAAGTAAAGTTCAAGTATATTTTAAGTATACTTTATGTAGTAAGTATACTAATATCAATGTACTTAAAGTATACTTGCAAGTGTACTGTTTCAGTACTACTTGGAACTAAATAGGCCCACTTTTTAGTGTATAAAAGTATACTTTTAAAGGTGCTATATGTATTTTTTAGCGGCCTCTATGGGTGATGTTCCAGATTGCAACCAATTTTTACAAGAGCGCTCGTGCTCTTGCGTGTGCTCGAACACAAGAGCGAGCACTCATGGTACCGGCCACACTGAGACTTTCAACACATCGGAGAAAGCATCACACATCATGCTGGAAACTCATGTAATCTCCCACGGCAACGTTACAATAATAGGCTACTTTTATCAGCTTGACGTTGAACTAATGCTCCATGCTGCTCGTACCATGATAACGTTACATTTGTGGTGTTATCTAGCATAAGGCATTTCACTAACTATTTGTGTATCTTTCACAATCAGCAATGTCAACATAGGTGAATGTATAATATGATAACGAAAACGGTTAGTGAACTAGACTGAACAATTTCAGTGTAACAGTAAGATCGTAGGAAGTAACATTACTGTACTGAACGTGTCTGGAAATGTGTATTATAAACAATATGATAGTAGTGGGATGAGTGACGTTAGACAGTAGATCTAGTACATAAAATAAAAGTTACATCCTAAAGCACCTACTTTTTGTTATCCTGGAACAGTCTTTTGTATTCATTTCATGTTGTAGTTTATCTTGCTATTTCATTACAGTTTACGATTATTTATTTCAGCATATCTGAAAACTTGTAATTTATCACAATAAAAATAGCGGAGGTCTCTCCATAATTCAAACGCTCTGCCGATGTTGATCCGTGTTTTCGTCCGTCAATCCGATTCACGTTTGGCCTGACGAGCTTCAGCGGATAACTTTTTTTAATTTTTAAAAAAAATATTTTTGTGTTGGAGTCTGTGTTGTGCTGGAGGCAGGAGTGTTTGGTGTTATCAGACTCCATGTCGTCAGCTGCAGTGCCGTCGCATAGACTGTATATAAGAGGCTCGGGAGCGCGTGTGCACGTCACATCCGATGGATTTCGCAGAAAATCCGACCCGGAGACTTCACATAGAAATAGGAATACTGGCCTTCAGAGGTAATAGCAAAACCCGACAAGTGGATCATTGTAATGTGTGATTACAACCCTTTCACACACAGGCAATAAAAAAAGGATTCATTTTAGAAGAAAAGTTCCATATAGCACCTTTAAGTACCCTATACTTTAAGTGTACCAGTAGTAAACATTTTTAGTACACAACTATAAGTTTTTTTCGTTTGTACTGCAACTATACTACAAGTGACCATACGGGTTGTTTACTATACATTTACATTTACATTTAGCTGACGCTTTTATCCAAAGCGACTTACAATTGCTATATTTCAG